AGGATACAAGGATACATATAAGATCTTGTTGACATTCTGGTTCTATGATAACTGGTATTCCAACACACTGAATACTATGGTGCTACTAAAGATGACTAGGAGCATGCTACAGGAACATGGAGAAAATGTGTAATGAAGTATGAAGAATGCTGTGCAATAGGACAGTATGGAAACCACCCAATTCTATTCATAGTGTGTGATAAAATTGACTCATAGAGAAGGTATTATAGACTTTAAAGTATATGACTTGGTTGTGTCACTTGATGGCTGTCTCTAGTACATGTGCAGTGTGTTGACTGCAATGTTTTGGCAGAGACAAAAGTACTATAGTAACTTATTATGTGGCCTGGTTGGATATCTTTTCAAGTGACAATCCTGATATTACCACATTGTATTTCTTTCTAGTGATGAGAACGCCAGGAAAGATTTGAAGTCACTGCCAGTCTTTCCAACCAAAACCCTTCAGGAGCATCCCTCACTTGCCTACTGGTAAGCCAGAACAACCCCTGAGCTACAGCCATGGCCCCCATTAAGCACTGTGTACTTGACAGGAAATTAAAGACAATCACTTTTTTCTTTTAAATTTCTTGTATTTCCTATAGTTCTCCTAAGTTTCGGTCTCCAAATCCTGAAGATTGTCTTCCTTTGAATACACACACACACACACACACACACACATAAATTAAAGATTATAAAATACTCTCCTTTGATAGCTTTAAATAGAATATATTGGGGCTGGAGAGATGGCTCAGCGACAGCCTCTTCTGTCCCCCGTGCACATTGCACAACACGGGTGCACTTACCTACATGCAGGCAATACACGCATACACATAAATAATAATAATAAATAATAAATAAAATATTAAAAATAAATAAAGAAAAATAGAATATATTTTCCAAATGTATAGTGGGATTAAATACAGAAGCCACATTGCATCCTGACTCCAGAATGTTTTCAACAAATCATTGTTAAATGGAACTTTCTTTTTTTTAAGAAAAAAAGTTACATGCAGGCAATACACGCATACACATAAATAATAATAATAAATAATAAATAAAATATTAAAAATAAATAAAGAAAAATAGAATATATTTTCCAAATGTATAGTGGGATTAAATACAGAAGCCACATTGCATCCTGACTCCAGAATGTTTTCAACAAATCATTGTTAAATGGAACTTTCTTTTTTTTAAGAAAAAAAGTGTGGGGGGGGGGAGTGATTGGTTATATTAGAAGTGTATTTAGTCTTTTAGGTTATTCCTGACTAGTAAAGCTACCTGAAAATTAAGGTAAAAGCTGGGTCTGAAAGTGGGGTGAAGTCATTGACTGATGCTCAAGGTCATCAGACTCCAGCATAGTCTCCTCTCACCAGGGTAATAGTGGAGGGTCTTCTCCATGGCACTTGGTCTGAACACAGTCATAATAAGAGCATTTCAGACAGTGTGCACACCAAAGCATGTTTAATTCTCCCAAAACTTTTTTTTTTTTTGCAGATAGTTTTTCATGTAGCCCAGGCTTGTCTGGAATTCTTTATGTAGTTAAGGATGACCTTGAACTTCTGATCCTCCTGCCTCCACTTCCCGAGTTCTAGGATTGCCGTTGTGGGCTACCATGCCTGGTTTATGTGGTCCTGGAGGTTGAACCCAGGGCTCTGCGCATGCTAGGAAAGCACCCTACCAACTGAGCCACATCCACAGTCCATGGTTTAAAATGGTTCTGAATAACTCAAAGAGCTGTTATTTAATGCCTAATGCTTACAGATTTCCTTTTTAAAATCCAAAACAGAAGAGCAGGTCATTGTTTCAAAATGACCTCAATAATATTCTCCAAATAGTATCTAGTATTTCTATTTTAGATTCATTGTGTGCTATCTAAAATATTAGTTTTCCGTTTGAGAAATTGATCTTATTTCCTTTCCTAGTAAATGGTGTAAGGTGTATGTTCTAGTTTGTTTCTCCATTGTTGTAACAGAACACTCTGACCAATACCAACTTGGAAAGGAAAGGATTTATTTAGCTTACATCTCCCAAAGTCACAGTTCATCACTGAGGGAGCTCAAGATAGGAACTCAGGATAGGAACCTGGAGGTAGGAGCTGGACCACAGGTCATGGAGGAATGCACTCTGCTGGCTTGCTCCTCTGGCCCATGCTCAGCCTGCTTTTTAAATAATACAGAACCTGCCCAGGGGTGGCGCTGCCCACAATGGGGTGGGCCCTCCCACATCACTAAAAAAAAAAAAAATCAAGAAAATACTCTATAGACATGGCCACAGGCCAGTCCAATGGAGGCAATTTCCCAATTGAGGCTCCCTCTACCCAGGTGTGTCAAGTTGACAACTAAAGCTAACCAGTGCAATGTATTACACAGACATATTAAAAGTTAAAGATCATAATGGAAGTAGTTAGATTTCTGGAGTTCAGGAACAAGTGGTGAACAGCAACAATGGTCCCTCTCACTCTGTATCCCAAGAAAGATGGTGAGGGCCTTTTCTCTCAGCCTGAGAATCTTAAAATGGAATCCAAGTCTCCAATAACCACATGTCACCATTTCTGTTTTGCTGTTTACAGTGAGGACAGGGTGATTGAGCACTATTTGAAAATCAAAGGTCTAACTCGGGGTCAAGCTGTGGTCCAGTAAGTATCTTTTGTTTTCTTAGATATAATTTTAATGTTTCTATTTAAAGAAAATATCTTGGCCATTCCATACATCAGTGTCATCAGCTCAGATGCCTCCCAGTGTTGGGCAGATAACAGAAAGAAATGTTGGCCACACCTAGGGGTGAAGACTGTAGTAGACTGAGAGTTGTCAACCCAGGCACAGGGAAGATGATTTAGCTTTGGCGTTCAGGCATGATGGTGTCATATCTTCTGATACTTTCAAAGAGAAGATGGAAATTCAGTTTGTGACTGAATTTCTACTTTGGGTAGAACACACAGTGTATTTGATGTTGGATATCTGGACAAACCATAGTCATTACACATATATGTGTGTATATGTGTAATATTATATATATGATACAATATACATATATTAAAGATAGTCTCATGTGGACCAATTGGCCTTGAACTCACTGTGTAGCCAAAGATGACCTTGAATTTCTGGTCTTCCTGCCTCCATCTGCCTCCCAAGTGCTGGAACTATAGGCAACAGCCATCACACCCAACTTCTGTACTCTTTGATAGAGTTAACACTGACTTATTAAGAATTCGCCTGCTATATTAACCTTCTAAGATTATGAAAGCCAATCTGCTTTTGAAATGCATGATTGCTCTAGTAACTGGAGAGTAACTCTTATGGCCATAACTGTAAGAAACAACAATAATAACTTCTGAGCACAGCACAGGGCCTATGAGAAGTGAGGCTAGGACTCAGGTCACCTGTCTCTTGAGAGCGAGTCTTCCTCACACTCCTAACCCAAATTCCATTTTCATAGCACGCCTGTGATCCTCAAGGCAGAAGTTAGCAGGTCTGAGGTTGAATCCTTGACAGCTTGATTCTTTCCATTCCTGAGCTGGATGTGAGGGGAAGGTAGGGAGTAGGAGAAGGAGTTAGGATAAATAATTTCCCAGAAAGACTTTAGTCAGGCTGATGAGTATATTAGGAGGGGCATTTACTAAAATACAGTGTTTCTGCCTCTTGTGATCATGGTATGGCTACAAAAGTTAGACTGTTTAATTTGGCTAGCACTGTTTGTAGAGTGCAAATCACTACATATGGCTTGTGCAGTTTAATTGCTGCTTGACTTTGGCAGGTTCACCCAGCCCCTTATATTCATTTACATGCAAGGCAATTACTTAAGAAATTGTTTAGTTAGTGATTACAATGTCCAAAGAAATTAATCTTCAGAATGTCATTAAGAAGTCCGGGAGTGGGCATGGATTTGATCAAAACACCTTATATGCATGTATAAAATTCTCAATAAATTATTTATTTAAAAAACAGTGCCCTCAAATTAAACAGGAACTTCAGCTACTTGGGGGCAGAGAAACAATCTTACACAATTCAGTCCACTCCAAAGCCTTAAAGGGCCTCTATAAGTATTAAAAATAGAAGCAATGGGATCATCACCTTAGTTTTAAACCTTTTTATTTTTTGGTCTTTTTGAGACAGGGTCTTCCCGTAGCCCCAGCTGTCCTGAAACTTACTAACAGAGATCCACCTGCCTCTGCCTCCCAAGTGCTGGGATTAAAGGCGTGCGCCACCACACCTGGCTAAACTTTATTTTTATTTTATGTGTATGAGTGTTTTGCTGCATATATGTAAGTGCACCTTACATAGGCAGTGCCTAGAGGCCAGAAGAGAACATCAGATCCCCTGAAACTATAGTTATAGACAGTTGTTAGCCTCCATGTGGGTGCTGAAAACCTAACCTGGGTCCTCTACAAGAGCAGCCAGCACTCTTAACTACTGAGTCATCTCTCCAGCCCCTTAATTTTTATTTTTGAGGAGTATGGTTTTTTGGGGGTATTTTGTCATTTGTTTTGGTATTTTTGAGATCAAGCTGGCCTTAGTCTCCAGAGATCCACCCGCCCCTGTTTCCCAAGTGAAAGCTGCCTTTTTTTTTTTTTTTTTTTTAAATAGAGTCTCGTATAGCTTGGGCTGGTCTTGAAATCACTGTGTAGCCAAGGATGACTTTGAACTTCTGATCCTCCTGCCTCTACTTCCTAGTGCTAGGATCACAGGTGTGCACCACCATGCACAGTTTATGTGGTGCTAGAGATCAAACTCAGGGCTTCATGCAAGCTAGGCAAACATACTACCAACTGAGCCATATCAGCAGCCCAGGATGTGGTTTTAGTCAGGTTACAATTATAAATTCACTCTTTTAAAATATATGTTTCTAAGAACTACTGCATACATTACAGTTAGAACTTGACCATAGTCAACACGTGGAAAAACTTAATCTTTGTTATTTATCATGAACATGACCTCAAAGTGGTTTTGTTGTTGTTGTTGTTTTGTTTTTAGAGACAGGGTCTCACTATGTAGCCCAGGCTGGCTTAGAGCTGAATATGTAAATTAGGCTGGCCTCAGTTACTATTACACTTACTATTGAGTGTTGGGAATACAATCATTCACTGCCACTATACACAGCTTAAAAGCTGGTTTTTTTATTTTTTTTTTCCTAACTTCCCCAACTATGGTGGCAACAAAGTTATTTTTAAAAAGAAATTGTTGGGGGCTGAAGAGATAGTTCAGCAGTTAAGAGCACTAGCTGCTCTTGCAGAGAACCTGGGTTCAGCTCCCAGTACCCACATGGTGGCTAACAACCATCCATAGCTCCAGTTCCAGGGAATCTGACACCCTCTTCTGGCCTCTACAAACCTTGCACACATGGGTGCACTTACGTACATACAGGCAAAATATTCATATGCACAAAATAAAAATAAATCAGTAAAAAATTTTAATGAATTTTAAAAATTATTTTATTTACATATATGTGTATGTGTGTGTGTCTGTGTGTGACTGCCATGAGTAGTGGGGTGCCCACAGAGGTCAGAAGATGGCAATGGGTGCCTTGGAACTGGACTTACAGGTTTGTAAGCCACTCCGTGTGGGTGCTAGGGACTAACTCTGGTCTCTGCAAGAGCAGCAAACTTTCTATACCTCTGAGCTGTCTCTCCAGCCCCAAACACTGATTCTTACTGCTTAGGTGTCAAGTGTTTACTTAAAAAATTTTTTTGCAATATGAGTTTTTAATGTAATTTATTTGTAAGTCAAAGAATCATTATGTAGAATATAGCATTTCCTGTAGCTTTTTTGAGTTGAGAATCTCTTAGAAGCCCCCTACCGTGGAGTATAGACCATTTACTCCCCATAATGGTTCATTATTCTATTGTGAGAAAATGAGATTAGTCATGGTTAAAGGCGGGAAATATAAACAAATTGTGTTTCCTTACATAACTTTCCCCCAAAGGGTCCTTCGACTATTTTAATGAATGAGGTTATGACCTATATATCCATTTTCTGTAGGTATATGAAAATAGTAGAAGCTCTACCCACCTACGGAGTCCATTACTATGCAGTAAAGGTAAATGCTTTTTAGACTGCAGAGCTTTCACAATGGCTACACTGTCAGTGACTGAACACCAGCTTTCCAGATCCACTGCACCAGCAGTCCTAGCTCATCCATGTTGGATACATCTACTACCACTGACTTTTGTTTTCCAATTAGTCACCTCTCTAATGCCGCCAAGTCCTGGTTCGATCATCCCTGTGTATGAGAATCATGCAGTGGCCAATGTTACCTGAATAGCTGCGGGAAGTGCTGGAACCTTTGAAGGATTTCAGTGCCACTGTCTCATGGGTGTGTTTTGTCTTCTTGTGTAGTGGACAAGCAGGAAGAAGTGGGCTGAGAAATAGTTTAATGATAAAGGCTAAAACATAGTTGAAGAAGGGAGTTTTCTTTGAAAGAAGAATTTTATAACATTTAGTTCTTGAGGCTTTTGGTGCCATGATGATGCTGACATCTTTACCCATCACAGATGTTGGGGAAATCAGATAAGGCATACCTTCATAATGAGGACACCCTGTACGAAACACGTGTGCCAACTTAATCTTAATTCTCACTCATCCTGCATTGCATTTACAAACACATCTAAGCCTATTTTTTTCTTTCCCTCTGTCAGTGCATTCTTTCAAAGTCCTAATACAGAAATTTACAAAAAAAAATCTTGCTCTCCTCATCACGTGTATCTCAAAACAGGCATCCACACAAGCTGTGCACAGTTGAACAGTTGCCCCATTCATTGTTCATTGTATTATGAGCATGAGGATTTGGAACCTCTTTTCTTGTCTTTGTAACTCTTTGGAAACTTCCCCAACCTTTATAGCTGGTTGTTAATCGAGAGAACAAAGAGTCTTTTTTTTTTAATCACATGGAACTGGATTAATTGTTGGTTGAATTATATTTTTTGTCCTCTCCAACTATTCAGTCAAAACAGTAATGTTTCATTCTTATGTGTGATAGCAGCAGTGTTGACTTTTTTTCACACAGTTGTCTCGTTTGAAGAAATCCTAAGAAAATCCAGTTCAATTTCTAAGCAAGGTTTTTTTTTTTACCAAGACGTTTGACTTGTTGATGCATGTTAAGGGAGGAAATGGGTAAATATTACTTCACTTCTAGATGATTTAACAACTAGATCTTGGTGCTCATATTTTTTTTCCATCTTTTAGGATAAACAGGGACTTCCTTGGTGGCTTGGAATCAGCTACAAAGGAATTGGCCAGTATGATTTACAAGACAAAGTGAAGCCTCGGAAAGTAAGTGTGAACCACTGCAGATATTTATGAGAACCCTGAATGTTACTTGTGCACCATTTATACAATTCCATATCTGAACATCTTTTTGTTTGTTAGACAGGGTCTCATGTCACACCAGCTCTCCTCAAACTCCTGATTCTTCTGCCTCCACCTCCCAATTGCTAGGATTACATCTGTGTGCCATCACACTCAGCCACATCTGGACATCTATTCCAAGGGTGATAACTGAAGTTATGCACTTAAGGTTTAGCTACAAAGATTCTGACCACAACATAGTTCATAACCCCCTCATGAGCAAGAAGATGCCACTCATTTTATAAATCACACACATACACACACACACACACTCTTATGTGGCTCAATAGTAAGGCAGATTTTTAAAAATATTTTATTTATTTATTTTTATTCTTTTTTTTGTCTCTTTTTTTTTTTGTCTTTTTGAAGCAGGGTCTCCCTGTAGGCCCAGCTGTCCTGGAACTCGTCCTGTAGACCAGGCTGGCCTTGAACTCAGCAATCTGCCTGCCTCTGCCTCCCAACTGCTGGGACTACAGGCATGCGCCACCATGCCTGGCTTATTTTTATTATTTTATGTGTATGAGTGTATTGCCTGCTTGTATGTGAGTGCACACATGTTGTGCAATGCCGCGGAGGTCGGAAGAAGGCTTCGGATTCCCTTGGAACTGGAGTTAAGGATGGTTCGTAGCCCCCATGAGGGTGCTGGGAATCGAACCTAAGTCCTGTGCAAGAACAGTCAGTGCTCTTAACCACTGAGCCATCTCTCCAGCCCCAGTAAAGCAGATTTTAAGTCCAAAAATTTTCTACTGATAATTTCTCAATAACATGATTATAAGCAATCTTTCTATGACTGAAGCTACTTTTTTACTTACTTTGTTTCATAGTTTTTTATAGTAAATATATCTGTTTTCTGTAAAGAAAAAAATAAGTAATGAACTAAAAGGCCATAGTCTATATGATTTGAGTTTTCTAGAGATAAATAAGTTATACTGTTCATCATTGAAGATCCGAATATAAAGATGGGCATTGCAGCATCACACACCTGTAATCCTAATACTTAAGATGTGAAAACAAGAGGATCAGAAGTTAAAAGTCACCCTCTGCTGCATAGTGAGCTTGAGGCCAACCTGGGCTACATGAGACTCTGTCTCAAAAATTTAAAAAGTGGAAAAGCTAAAGGAAAAAAAGACTTGTTAATGAAGTTATTTCTCTTGACTCAAGTATAAGTGTATAGTACATACATTGTCACCTGTAAGAACTGATGAGTCTATAGATCACAGTTCAGTGGCATCCTTAGTATTACAGTGAGATAAAGACTGAACCATGTTGCCTGGGTGGGTTTGCTACTCTCCCTGTGCTCTGCTGCCATTCATAGGGGCTGCAGGAATGAAACAGTGGCCTCTTAATAACAGCCCATGGTCAGCCTGGCTGCTTTGTCAACCTGACATCTCAGTCTGAAACAGCTCTTAGGCATTCACCTATCTCTTGCTAGATTCTTCATAAAGCAACCCTGGAATCAGACCATGGACTCTGAGTCTTCCCAGACACCGTCTAACACTGATCAATGCTCATAATCTTCCTTGAGTTAGAAAAGCCAAAAGCCCTCCTTGTCCCCACTTCATGGTTGTGACACTAACACATATAACATGAAAGGTGGCCTTGTGTAGACCATGGCTCTCCTTCCCACATGCATCCAGCTCTCCTGAACCAGACTAGTTGAGCGTTGAGGCCACTTACTAGAGAACTACCAATGAATACAAGAAAACAAGATTCAACACCATATTCTCTTGTGTGAGCAACAGCAAGAGCACGCATGGAGCTATATAGCTAGCATGTTCTCTCTGTCAGCCCTGTGAGCAAGAGCAATTTGAATAAGAAATACGGTGCTTTGCTTTCTTTTGTTTTTTGCTTTGTGATGCTGGGGATCAAACCCAGAGCCTTGCACAAGCTAGGCAAACATTACATCCCCAGCTCTCTTGCCATTTTTTAAAACTATTTAGTGTTTCATTATGTGGACATGCATAATCTTATTAAGTGATTGTCACAATCCTCCTGTCTACCGTCCGCCCAGTGCTGGGATTATCACATCTAGCTAGAACTTCTCTTTTGGTGGACATGACATATCCATTGTGGGGAGGGCAGAGAAGTGGTGGTTCAGATCATAATACAGAGTCTCAGCCAAGCCAATGTATGGATTCTCCTGAATTTTACTCTTTTCTCTGTATTTTCTTTCTTTCTCTCTTTCTTTCTTTCTTTTTATTTATTTTTTTATTTTCTTTTTAGGGTCGTGTATTGCCTGCATGTAGGTGAGTGCACCTGTGTCATGCAATGCCCACAGAGGACAGAAAAGGCTGTCAGATCCCCTGGAACTGGAATTACGGACAGTTGTTAGCTGCCATGTGGGTGCTGGGATTCGAACTCAGGTCTTCGGCAAGAACAGTCAGTGTTCTTAACCGCTGAGCCATCTCTCCAGCCCCTCTTTCTTTCTTTTTAATTGAGACAGGATCTCACTATGTGGCCCTGACTGACCTGGAGTTCTCTATATAGACCAGGCTGGTCTTAGAATCACAGATCCACCTGCCTCTGCCTCCCGAGTGCTGGGATTTAAGATGATGCCACCACACCTAGCTCAAATTTTACTTTTTAAAAGAAGAGCATCCAGGGCATCTTGCTGGTTTTCTGAATCTTACATGCAAAATAGAACTTAAGTCAACTCATAACTAATTTCTTAATAAGAACGGCTTATTAAGAATGTGATTCTCACAGCATGTAAATAAATGCCTCTGAGAAGAACAAGCAGTCTCAGTGCTCCTCCCACGTAGCCCCTTCCACTCTGGGGAGTTCTTTCTCAGTTTTCCTTAATAAATATATGTTTGCTCTGCTGAAAAACCAAAAAAAAAGTGAAAACAAGCAACCAGACTTTCTCCCCCAAATAATGGTGAGTCAGAGTCTTCCCAGCAAACACTGCACTTAGTTTTCCTCTCATGTGCACATGACTCACGAGCCTTTCTTTACATTCGCAGCTTCATAAAAATTGGCATGTATCACTTCACACTGATCATAATCAGGTTTTCTTGTTCATTCCAGAGTCTAGACAGGGGTCAGAAGCCACTTCCTTTCTTCAATTTGCAGTTTTGCTATTTCATTTTCAAGACCTGTCAGTCACTCCCAGCAGGACCTTAGTGCTCCTCTCCTCTCTTTGCATCTTGTGTTCCCTTTATCTATCATTTCAGGTGCTTTGGTTTGCTGCCTGCTCCCTTTTGTTACAGTCTGATGATGAATCCTGCTTTCGTGGGCTTATCCTTTCTGTGCCCTAATGATTTGAGTTTAATGGGCAGGAGAGCATTCTGAGAGTCCTTTCCTGGCTCAACTCGCATTGCATATATTAAAAGCATGTTGATTTAAAGGGCTGTGAGCACTGGCATCAAAGGACCATGCTTCAGTACCTGGGCATGCAGCAAGTTCTCTAGTGGCTAGGAAGGAATCAAGGTCACATTGACAAACTCGAATGTTACCAAGGCTCTGAGGGAGGCCATACCATGCCTGGCCTCTTGAGCCATATGCCTTCCTGGTTGGCATAAAAACAGGCCAAGAAAATGTACCAAGAATCAGAGAGACTGACACCAAAAGGCAGTTTTAAAATAGGGGTTGTTCAAGGTCTGCCAGCAAAGGCCTGCCAGCACCTCTAGATAATGTCTGTTAATTATTGCCTATAAATGTTGAAGACCATTTACTTTATCTACCAGAACACCAGCGAGCGCTCTTGATTATTTTAACTTTAAATGTTTTTTTTTCCTGTTGTTTTTTTGTTTGTTTGTTTTTTGCCAGGCTAGAGGTGGGGTGGTGGGGGTGGTAGAGACTACACCACAAGTGATTTTTCTGTCAGTGAAGCACCACAGGATGTGAGGGAACATCCTAGACCCTGGTCCTGATATCTCTTTCTTGTGTGGTCTTTGTGCTATGTGTGAGTTTCTATATGTATGTATGTTTATATGTATTTTTCAGAGCTGGGGATCGAACCTAGGGCCTTGAACAGGTTAATTAAGTTTCTGCCACTGAGATACATCCTCAGCCCCTATTTTCTGTGTGACTTTGGACACATCTCTCCTTTAAACTGGCTTCCTCACCTGCCAACGGCAATGACACTGACTGGATGAGGGAGGGTGTGAGAACTGAGATTATATTCCATTCCACTCATGCCTGATGAAGAGATGCCGCTAGATAATGAGTAATAGTTTCTTGAGACTGAGGGAGGCGGGCAGTTGAAGAGGAGCTGGGAAATATTCATGGACTAATGTTAGAGAGGGATCCAACATTGTTACAAATCAGTTCCAGTATGGCAGGAAGTCCCTATTTTCAGGACTTGCAAGCCCTTCTCTTCCCAATTCATTACTCATAATGCCTGAAGATGTGATATAAATATTTATTTATTTATTTAAACAGGATCTTCTATAGCCCAGACTGGCCTTGAACTTGCTATATAGCCAAGGATGATCTTGAATTTCTGATTCTCCCGCCTCCAACTTCCCAGTGCTAGGATTATAAGTGTGTACCACCATACCCAGCTTATGCAATGTTGGGGTTCAAATTCAGGGCTTCATGTACGCTAGGCAAGTTAGTATATAGCTACTAACGGAGCCTTTTAATAGGTTTTGATTGTTCATTTAGTGTTTCAAGAAAAAAAAAAAAAGCAAAGAGCCAGACAGCGCCACAGTGGGTGAGAAAGGCATTAGTGAGTGTGTCATACCTGAGCTCAGGCCCTCCGGCGAGGAGTTCACCTGGGAAAACCAGGGCCTGTCAGAGAGTAGAGATGGGAGACTGACATGGCGTGCTAGTCCAGGTGTCACCTAGACCATCCTGGGATGAAGTGCCTTTCAAGATTAGCATCTTTTTGCATTATAACATGCTAAGAGAGCTTTGTGATGCACACTATCACCCCAGGGCCTCTGAGGATGGGAAAGGATTCTTGGCCTTCAGTTAACTGA